ATGACCTCTCAGCACTGCCCACAAACAGAGCAAATCCTGGACAGTTTTACTGGGCCGCCCCACAGCGTGCACTGAGTTTGCAGTTCTCTGCTCAGGCTGTGTCCTGGGGGAGAGAGGGGGGGCTTTGGGTCACAGCACTCATCAACCAGACTCAGAAACCTTTGGGTTTCCACCATCTCCCATCCCCGGAGCTGCCGAGCCCCAGGGAGGGGGACAGCAAAGTGCAGGGGGGCCCCACGCCCCTGCTCGCCCTCCCCAGGCAAGAGGCCATGGCCAGCGGCAGCGCCGGCGCCTCCCCGGCACGGTGTCCGCCCATCCTGCTCTCCTGCACATTTTTTCCCAGTGAGGCATCGAGAGTGAACCTAACGGGTGCTGGCTGGTAAAACGAGCTGTGGTGGTGAGGGGGAGCGGTTCCCTCTCGGTGGCTGTGGCGGCTGGCGGGGAGGCTCGGGGTGCTGCCGCTGGCTCAGGGAGCTGCCGCTGGCTCGGGGAGCTGCTGCTGGCTTGTGGGGTGCTGGGGCTGGAGGGCAAGTGGGGGCCCTGCCCTTGCTGGGGAGTATGTGTGCACCCACCATGGCTGCATCCATACAGGTCGCTGGGGATGGGGGGAGATGGCTTCAGGGGTGTTTTTGGGGTGCAGCCGTGTTGTGGCAGGAATGTCAGGGGGCACGGACCAGGCAGACCCCACTGTCCGGAGCCCACACCCATGGGAGGACAAGACAGAAATGTGGCCGTCAGTGGGCGGCCAGCTCCCTGCAGGGTCCAGGGGCTTTGCATGGGGAGCTGGAGGGAGGCTGGAGTGGTGAAGCCCAGGCTTTGCATTCTCTGCTCTGCTGGGGGCTGGCTAGCACTCCCACCTGCTAGCCAGCCCTGAGCTCAGCCCCTTGGTGGGACCCAGCGCAGTGGTGCCTGACCCAGTGGTACCTGATGGGGTGATACGTGACCTGGTGGTTCAGCTGTACCCGAGCTAGTGGTACCCAATCTGGTGGCATGGTGGTACCCAGCAGTTGAGGCAGTTGGTGGCAAACTGGGGGCTCTGGGATGGGTGGTGGGCAGGACCACAGGGATGGGTCTGCCCCTCAGCTCTGTTCGACTCTGCAGGCATTTGGGGCTGGGGGGGGCAGAGTCTCCCCACTGTATCAGGCTGAGCAGTGTGTGGTTCCCCCTCCTGCCTGTGCTGCCTCGGGCAGGAGGCTGCTGCTCCTGGCACATGAAGCCAGGCGTAACAAGGCCACGTAGCGAGTGTGGCCTTGGGGTTATCAACCCTTCTGGAGCACAGGGGCTAGGGGTCTCCTTTTCCCCACGGCAACCCGGGGAGAGCTGGGGGACG